CCAATTATAAACGATTGATTGTCCAATTTCCGCCCTCAAACACCCTTCAGACGATGTTTCTGCGCTCTGTAGTATCATTGCAGGGGTTTGCTCTTCCGCCGCGGTAACAACGATGATGCAGGCATGTGCCGCACAAGGGACCACGTAGTAGAAGCAGCAAGCCAGAGAATCTGCCTCACCTCAAGGCCCTCCGAGAGGGTGTAGGAAAGAACATCTCCGGTCTCCTCATCGGGCACGCGTCTCTGCCTAGCCTCTCCCCGTCCTTCTCCCCATGAGGCAAACAGAGACTGAAACGAGGATGAGCTGCCTTCTACTGTTGTGCTGGAAGCGGTTGCCCATTCGCGTCTGCATCATGCAAGAACAGAAGTAACAAGAACAGCGAAATCAAATCGGACTTTAAAGGAGCAGCAACAGCTCGAGAGCACTTGCTGCAACGGAACCTGCACAGCCCCGAGAGTTCAAACAGCAACGGCTGCCTGGACTCCAGCAACACATGCTCTTCGCTGCTGCTGACAAAAGCCAAACTGCCATTAAACACCCACCGCTCAGCTTCCAAAGTATTGCAGCGCTGGTTTAGGCCATCTATGAGTGCTGCCAGCTGATCAAGAGACTGCTGCTGTGCCTGCGCGCAAACCCTACGCGCTGAGCAGTAGACCCTCTAGAGGCAGGCACAGGAATGAAGAACAGCCATCGTATAATACCCTTGACGTTGCTTGGTGCTTCAAGGCTGCAACTCCTTAAGGGTAGCCACATGCCATGTGGATACGCTAGGCCTACAGGCGTCCAGGTGTCTCTGCTCCTAGCAAAAGCCCCCTTCCTACCTCCGTCTGAACCCGTAAGGCATCTCGGTGTCTCTCAATCTCCTGAAGCCTCTGTCGATCTGCTACTGCTACGCGCAGGGAAGCAGCTGCATCCGCGAGCTGCTGTTGTAGCTGCTGCACCTCTCGTTGCAGCTGCAGCCTCCCTTCTGCTCTGGTATTTATCAACAGACAGGCACACATCCACACGTGTACACGTACACACACATATACACATACATACAGACATACATCCACACATCCACACGTACACACACACATATACACATACATGCAGACATACATCCACACGCACACACGTATACACACACATATATACACATACATACAGACACACATCCACACGTACACACACATATATACACATACATACAGACATACATCCACACATCCACACGTACACACACATAATCACATACATACATGCATCCCCACATAATTAATCGTGCAATCACTTTGACACAGAAAGTGACCCGACAAGTTCCCGCCAATCTGAGCGGCGGCAGCAGCAGCCATTGCTGCTGCTGCTACTACTGATATTTCTGCAACTCTTGCTGCTAGGGTGTCTGCTCTCACGCGCGTTTGAGCTGCTGCTGAGAGGCGTCTAAGGAACCAAGGAGCTGATGCAGTCCATCTGACACCCGACGAACCAAGCTAGACCCGTCCTCGTCCTCCGTCCTGCGCAGAGCGGACACACACATAATGCATAGAGGCACACGAGAAGCACATCACCTCGTAGTCAACAAGAGCAAAAGGCTTGAAGCACAAGTGCCGTCTTCCTCCATAGATCGAAAAAAAGCCCCGTGCGCTGCTTGCATGCCCCGGGAAAATTTCAATGCGGTGAAGCGTTGCCTCTGCATATTGCGTCCGACGAATGCAGGGAGAAGCCTGACTCAGCTAAGGACGGGCCCTTTGAAATATTCTACAAACCCCCTTAAAGGACTCTTTCCTTCTCCATCCCCAAGTGCCCTTGGCGTGTCTTGAAGCCTCGCTTTCAACGGCATCCCGTACTGTGCGTTTTGACGAGTGGTGGCATTTTCGGTATCTCCCCGCAGCTCTGGAGTGCCCCCGGGAGGCCTCTACCGATATGTACGTGGGGGGAAAGGCAGGGGTGGTTGGGGAGAAAAGGGGACACGACGCGTAAGACTTCCACACAGAAGGCCCCAGTGTACATACACCCCCAGTGTACGGTGCTCTCTATACCCGGGGAGGGGAGTTTGCACTTGCGTGAGCGGCCTCAGAAGGGCATCTGCTTCGACGAAGAAAGTCTTAGCGGCTTCTGCCTCGCGAGTCTTCGCCTCCAGAGCGTCCTTGAGTTTTTTATTTATTTGCTCTCTCACGTCTGAAGCGGACAGGCAAGAGACACAGCAAACGCGGCTCTGAACTTTCCAGCACGCAAAGGGGAGGCATGCAGAAAACGTGCAGTTAGGGGCTTAGCGTTCTGGCAATATAAGGATTGAAGATTCCGCACCAAGTTCTTCCTGAAAGGCAAAATCGTTGAGAGAGGGCCCCCTAGGCCTCTGCTCGCCCTTTCCTGCGCGAGAGCAACGAATACACAACTCGTCACAAGGCCTGCCATCCACCATTGCCAGTGGTGCTGCTGCCTGTGCCGGTGGTGTGCATATTTATGAGCTGGATCCTGCCTCGTTTCAAGCATCTGCTGCGGCTTTAGCGCCTTGTACAGCTGCAGCAATTTGCTTGATGCTGCTTCGCCTCTGCCACTGCTGCTCCCGTGTTGGGTGTAGCTCACCGGAGGGCGCCATGAGCTCGTGTGCTCGTGCCTGTGGGATTGATTCGTCAAGCAAATTACTAACAAGCAGCAGGAAGAAGCAGCAGTGCTGGGGAGAGCAAGGCAAGCGAACGAACCAAGTGGCTGCCTTGTGAAGGGGCCCAGCCAGGGGCCCCCCAAACTCCTTGAGGAGGAATTATTTATGGACGTCGGCAATGATCGTACTCTCTCTGGCGTACTGTTGAGCGTATTTGAGTTTTTTAATGTTGAAAAAATAGAACGGAAGACCAAGGGAGCTGGAGAGCGGTGTGGTTGAAGTGGAAGGAGAGGCAGCACCCTGAGGATTTCGCCGACTTCCATTTAGGGCTTGGGTGTGCACACATGCAATGTGAGGCCTATGCAATCGCACCTTATCACATTTCCGCAGTGTTACAGCCGTTTGCCGCGCAGAATGCGGCATCTTTAGACGTGGCTGTCCTCTCTCTGTTTCCCCTCTTTTCCCGTACGCGCAGGTGCTTCAAAGCGCCACAAGACAATCAAGGTCTTTCACATACGTCAAAACTTGAACAGTTCCTATACGAAGTCTCTACCGGGACGCCACACAGTTTCGTAGAGCTCAATGTGTGGTGAACAGCAAGTCGGAGTCGCCTATAGACCGGAGCGGCAAACGATAGCGGAAGGTTTTCTCTATTGCAGTACCAATACAGGGGGTTCGCCAAACGGCACCCTCATCCCCTCCAGAGAAAGGCGGGTTTACCAAAGCCTCTCAAATGCAGCCTGCCGCAGACGTTGATTTCTCCTCCTTGTTGCATTCTGGATTTGGCTCAAATTGCTTCAGTTTTTGCTTGATAGTCTTGCTTTGCCTGCGTCGCAGCTGTTCTGTTTCTGTACATATAGATATCTTTATTTAGTGGCATCCTCATTTTTGTACACCTTTCTCTATCCTTCCTTTCCTCGCCCCTCGTGTGTCTCCTCTGCCTCCTTGGCCTCTTAGCTTAACTCTCGCAAAGGTATAAATCTTCATCTGAGGTCTCCGTTGGGGAGCCTTCTCCCCCAGACTCAACACAATATCAGTGCAAATGCATTCTCTGCTAAAGGACTTCCCCAGTTCCCTGCCTGCGCCCCTCAGAGGTCGGACATGAGGGGCGAGGGACAGCTAGGATGCGCACACCTGAGCCTTCTTAAACACTCTTTGCATTCACAGTACGCTGCAATAACACAGCAACCTATAGTGCACACACACACGCACATACACACACACACAACATTTATTCTAATCGTAGTGAACTGAATTTCTTTGCTGGTGAATTGGATATGAAGACAGCCAAACCCAATAGTAAACTCCCTACCAACTCATCCTTGAGTACAGTTACTGCAGTAGAAAGGGTGTAGAAGTGTAGCTTAGCCGGCTAAATGTGGCATCTATGCATGCCAGTCGTTTCCAGCGGTATCGCCGAAACTGCTTCTGGCGCTTTACATGCTGAAACCTAACGTACAAGGCTCAAGTCCACCGCGTACTCCCGTATGTAGCCGTAAACATCAAAGAGCGATACCTGAAAGGTCAGCAGCTGAGGCCCGAGGGCAAGCTGGAATAATAAATCGCCGCTCCTCCTACCCCCTCTTTTCCCGCCCGCACGCCTTTCAGGCATCACTGAAACAGGTTGGCTCAAGAAAGTGCTGCAGCTGTGCTAAAGTGTTTCGAGTGCAACTTTAAGAGTGTTCAGCGCCACACTTTTCTCGTTCGTCTTTAGAACTAGGCTTCCCAGTTATGCTTCAGGTAACGTGCAGGAACCTGTGTCTATACACTAGACAGCATGTGCGATCACTCCACAGGAGAAGCTACCTAGTTGTGTTGTGGCCGTCCTGCCTCCAGTGATGGCCAGACGGACGTCGCGAAAACATGGCCTTTCGAGGGAGACTTTAGGCATATCTGCACTGAATGATGGAAGCCAACATTCAAGTTGGGGAAAGTTCTGAAAGACTTAGATCGACTCGCGGGATCCGCCGTGAAGTGATGCACACCGCGTTCCCACAGAAATGACGGTTCCCCATCCATCGCACCAGAAAAGAGGGGAAACCCCCCTTAAGAGGGCCCCCCAGACACCACCAGTTTAACAGAAGCCCCCCTTTAGGGGCCCGTGAGTATTCTACATCGGCACTAACGGAGCTTACTCCTTAAGGGCTTCCTGCTGGTGCAGGTGTAGCAGCACTACCCGAAACTGCTGTTACGTGTGCCGCCACGCATGCGTGAGGGTCTGGTTCGCACAGCTCCTATGCCATCCAAAGCTTTGCAGGGGGACATCAAAAAAGAACCGTTTTCCCAGAGGCCTACCGAAAGATTCCTGTCCAAGAGATGGACCGCCTTCCCCCCGCCTCCCCTTCCCTACTCCAACCTCCCAGCGTGCCACTTGAGGAACCCTGCCACCAAAATAAGTCCCTCTTAAAGAGACAAGTCAAAGCTCATCGTCGGGAATCAAAAAGAGCCTCCGCGTGTCTCCTGCTGCTTCCGCCGCCGCTGCGACAAGTGACGCGAATTCCTCCTGCCGATCCCTGCGGAGGCATTGCGATCCTTCCGGCTTTCTGAAGAAGGAAGTGAGGGGGAGAGTAAGATCTGCGTCTACCTCCAGGAGCCAGGGGAGAGCCTTCGCCACGGTGGGGGTCGGGGACCCCGGAGGGACTTTAGCATCTTTGAAGCCTTGCAGCAGCTCTCCCAAAGGCGTTGCATGCAACAGCCCTGCAGCCACCCCCTCATGAATGGCGTGCAGAGCCTGCGACAAAGACAGCAGATAAACTCCCCCCTGCAGCACAGAAGCCCCCGGGATACTGAACTGGGCTTCGGAGGAGAAGACGCTTTTCCCGCCTCCAACCTGTGCGCCGTCTTCTACTTTCTCCCTGAAGCTCCCGCCTTTATGCCCCTGCATGGGGACGCTGGCATCCACGACACCGTTCCCCGCCTCTTCCTGGGAAGCCTCACGGCCAGGCCCATAGAGGGGCCCCTCCTGCGCGCGTCCTTCCCCCCTACCCGTTGCATTGAAGGCGTGATGCGAGACGCTCGCGATGGGCTTTGGAGATGCAGCAGGATCGGGCAGGGTCCCTTCGGACGGTGTCATGTCTACCAGACCGAAAACGGTTTGTGGCGGTAGACTGCTAAGTGCGATATCCGCAATTTCGGGGAGCGCTGCCTCAAGAAGAACCAAAGGAGCCCGAATACCCCACCTCATGAGCACGATTCCAAGATCGCTCACACGCTGTACCCGTAGGGCCTTTTGCGTGCTTAGGAGGATAGGCGCTGCTGCCCATGGGGTGCCTGCCGAGACGGCCGAGAAAAAGTGTGAAGAACCCCACACCAGAGGGCCATACGAATCGACGCACGCCAAAGAGCTCTGCTCGTCTTGGGCCTGCTGTTTGCGTTTCTGCTTGTGCCAGAAAGGCTCCCACTGTTGGGCAGCTTCCGCGCCGATCTCGTCTTCGGAAGGGGCGAGTGCTGCGTGCAGTCGGAGGGACGCGAAGCCTCCGCTGGTTGTCTGCATGTTTGAATATGCCAAAGCCGGCTCCGTCAGGTGGATGGACCCCTCGAGGAGAGCGGCAAAGAGAGCGGCCCTGTTGCTGTAGAGAAGATATTCGAGGCGCAGGGGGGCCCCCGCGGGCAGGAGACGTTCATAGTTGTACGACAACAATGAGATTGCCACCTCTAAAACGCGAAAAGAGACGCCAGCAGGCCTCGTCTGGAGCTGCAGAGCCTCCTCCTGCTGACTCTCCGGGATTGGGAGATGGCGTACGGAGGAAGGCAGGAAACGAGTTTCAAGCAGCCCCACTCTGATGACGCCTTCCCTCAAGACAGCCCGAAGAGTATCACCTGTAGCAGTCGCAGCACCAATCGAAGCGGCAAAGCAGTCTGAGAAGCGGAGCAAGCGCGAAAAAGGACCCCTTCCTTTCGGGAAAGGGAGCAGCAGTGTCTATGCTCCTCCTCCCTCTGCCCCCCCTCCTCGCAGGTGAGAAGGTGGAGGGATTAGAGGCAGTGGAGGAGGGTTTCATACCCGGTGCATTCGTCGGCTGAGGGAGAAGGAAGGGCACAGGAGGTCGGGGGCCCCCCAGGAAGAGGGGCAGAATGGGGGGTGGCTCTGCATGCAGGCTCAGATAGCGCCTGAAGGAAGGCAATACAGACTCGGCGGTTGTTGCTTCGACAGCGGCCTTCAACGAATCGTAGCACTCTCTAGAGCCTAGGGCTAGCTGGACCTGACAGAGTTCGGGAAAAGGCAAGAAAATTTTCTCCTGCTGTTGTTGCTGTTGGTCTTGCTCATTATTATCCTGGTGCTGATCCTGTTGAATGTGCTGATCCTGCGGGCTGCTGCCACCTTGCTGAGCGTGCTCCTGCGTTTTTTCCCCGGGTAGATCTTGCTGCGACTGTAAATTAAGCTGCCCCCGTGATCGCTGTTGCCGCGGCTGCTGCTGCTCCGCAGCGGCAGCACCCGTAGCAGCATCCGCAGCCACAGCCGTCGAGTAGACTCCGCGGCTTGCCTTTGCAGCGTCCTGCCGCTGCTGCTGCTGCTTTTTCGATCGGAGTTCTGAGGAGGGCTGCTCTGAGCCTGTCCGTGAATGCAGCGCTCCAGATTTTTCTGTCGCCGTGGAAGCCTCTGAGGAGGACGAAAGCCACGGGTTTGGCATGCGCCTCACACAGACCGAAGGCGGGGGCCCCAGTGCTTCTTTGGCTGGGAGGGCAGGGAAAAGCCCGTGAGAAGAGCCTTCATTCGTCTTTCCCAGACCAAAAGGATGTCTGTCTGCTGCTTGTGCGGCCCCACCATTCTGCAGCAGTAGCAGCAACAACAGCGGGAGCACATGCCGCTGTGGCAACCACTGCTGGACAGGCTTGCAACGGGGAGCCCGACAGGCCTCTCTTTCAAGTGCCGATCCCTTGGGGAGAAGCCTGCGCTGGAGCCCCCCAAGTGTCTTTCCAGCTTGCGTGCGACGCTTTGGAGAGGATGCCTCGGACCTTGTAAGGCATCCCCCTTCAGGAAAGAGAGCCTCAGCAGGCCCTTGCTGCATTCTAAAAAGCTCCTTCTCCATGTCTCGAGGAGAGTTTGAGGCCGAGAAGGACATACGAATCGTTCGGAAGGACCAAAGGGAGGGGCAGAAAAGGGAGCCCCTTGCTGTGTGCTTTACATACCTCTTTCAACGCACACACGGCCTCACAGGGATACGGTAGGGGTCCCCCCGTAGGGAGACAGCATGAACAAAGCTACTGAGCACGCATTAAGAACGGATCTCCCCCTTTTACGTGCCGCCAAGTACACTGGAGCGCCTCAAAAGGCCAGGAAGCCGGGGGGCCCCAGGCGGGGACGCCACACGCTGCGCGGGGGCCCCCCTAGTCCCCTCCAACGAGCAGCAGACCGCTAGCAGCGCCAGGCCCCACAGCACCTAATGCAGATATCTCGAGCCTCGCTAAGTACATGTGGCATCTTAGTGTAGGGGGAATTCGACCTGTATTCGCAAGGCTTGAGCGGCTGCCTATTGCTGTATACCGCACCATCCCGGCCAGCATTCTGACGCAGGTACGGGGCCCCCGAGACTTTCTCGCGGGTAAAGTTTCACGTAAACTCGGGGAATCATACCACAAGCTGGGTGCTTTATTATAGATGCAGCAAAAACACGAGCAACGGCCTTGTAAGGGGAGACCTGCCGTTGCGAAATTCAAGTCCGCGTCACTCCTGCTCCGTGCCAGTGCACAAATTGAGAACAGTTCTTCACCCACAAAGGCGAGCTGCATCTGCTGCAGCCAACAAATGCCATTTGCTTAGCTGTAAAGCCCCAAAGTCGGTTTCAAACGGGCCACACAAGCGCGCACTCGAGCTACGACTCTGCGTAGCTCAGACACCCGCACTCACCAGCGGCCCCTGGTGGGCTGGCCACTGACCAAAGGCCTCAGCTCAAGTTGCTGTCTGGCGTTTGAGAGGGTTCCCCTGCTTGTCGGCGCGCCGAGGGGGCCTCCTCTAGGGGCCCCCGTCATCCTTGAAAAGGCGTCTCTGGCTCGTTGCCTTAGTGCCCTCCACCTGAAGGCCTCGGGCAGTTTGTTAGCATGCCACTGAGAGAAGTAGGTGACGGTGAGAAGGAAGAGATAAGCTGCCGCGGCAAGGAAGCATGCCGCTGCAGCCTTTTGCTTGTTTTCAGAGGAAACCGAAAACGTGTCCGCCTCTATGTAGAACACAACGCCGCAATAGAAGAAGAACAGCAGCCCACAAACCAGTATTACAAGAGCAGAGCCTAAGGCTAAAGATAGCGCCATCTTGCCCCTGCCCTCTCCCTCGTTGCCGTTTCTATTGCAGATTGAGCTGCCCGGTACGCTGCACCACGCGTAAATGCGTTGCTAGTGTACACCCTTGAAACTGCAACGCCGAAGACTGCGCTGATATTCCTCCTTTTCTTGCCAAAAGCGCTGGGCCCCCCGTATCGAGGCAAGCACGAATGCTGGCTGCTCCAGTGGCCCTTTCAACTCTTCGTGTAGTCGCCAAAGATCTTATCGATCTCCTCTTCAAAGAGCTGGCATCTAAGGGGCATATCTAAATCATAGAAGGGATTTTTCAAACCAAAGTCTGTGTAGGCGGCGTAGGCTTGACGGAGGCAGTTCTCAATGAGTTGACTAGAGACCCCAGTTTCGGCCACCAGCACAAAGCGCAGGCCTGAACACATACACAGCGCACACCTCGATTTTTAAAAAAATGATGATTCGGCAGCAAAAAAACAGCATCCCTGCAGGAAACGGGTCGAAAGCAGGCGGAGAAACCAGAAGATCGGCAAAATATAGCTGAGTGCTGTCGCGCGAAAGAAAGAATTTGAAGCTTCCACGTGAAAGCTTTGGGCCCCCCTGGATGTTTGAATCCCTAAGCCCTTTCTTTCTGTCACCTCTGAGCTTTTCGCGTTTAGTGGAATGCCCTGCTTCTTGCCTACCAGTGAGCGTCTCGAGGCACTGCACCTTAAAGCCGAAGGCTTCGATGATACAGATGCCCTTGGGCTGAATGAAGGAAAGCTCCCCAATGGCAGGCGGCCTGACAGGTGAGAGCTGAGCAGCTATTTCTGAAAGACCATGAAAGGTTGAGGCCTGGCGAATCGCGTCGTTGGCTTTGAGACACAGGCCCTCACGGAAATTCTGAGGCACAAGCGATCCAGCAACAGCCGCAGCGATATCAGTCACACGAGGGGCAACACCACAATAGCGCACGAGGCAACAGAAAATGGGGAGGGATTGATGCACGCGTCTCAACCATCATATGCCTTCTCCCTCCGTGAAAGACAGCGCATACACATGCACGGCAAAGCCGAGCACAAAGGCCACAGTTAGAAAGCCAAGATCGCTCAACTGCTCATGAGAGGGGCCAGCGTTGGTCTCGGGGGTTAATGAAGGGATTCAACGGGGCATCTGCAACAGAGGCAGGGGGCCCCCAAGAGTGCAGTGAGTGGTCGGCTCTTGAGGAGAGTGGAAGGGGCCACGCTAACCCGCTGGAAGACGAGGCTGCCGTGCTTGTTGTTAATGAAGAGTGAAAGCATTTTTATGTAGACAGCAGCAACATAATTCAGAGGGTGTGCATGGCGGAAAGAGGGAGGGCCCCTGAAGGGGTTCTAGAGTTCGTAGCTGCGCCCTCTCAGATTCCGGTGAAACACCGTGCACAAAAGTACTAATTGGAACAAATATGTAAATGCACTAGGGGGAACCGGAATGTGGCACTCGGATATGCATATAGCAGGCAGCTGCTGCAGCTGCTGCTGCCGTCTGTAGACTGCGAGCTGCTCGCGCATGCAAGGAATGAAGCCCCAAACCCGTCTACTACCCTGTTCTCTCTTATTATTTTTTCTTAGGTTTTGCATTTGGGGTCCTAGTGAAGCAGGGGTCGCAGGCATAGCCCCAGGCCTCTAAGAACCAGGCTGGTAGACACGGAACTGCAACACAGAGGGAGACACGTGAATGCACAAAGATTTCCCTGGTAGGCCTCCGACTACACCCTCTAATGGGAACGTGGGGACGTCTAGCTGCAGGAGACCCCCATATAGTCAAGCGGCAGCAACTACTAAGGCGCCTACCCACCGCCCTTACTAGTGTGCTTTTCCTGCAGTTCTTCTTTTGTCTGCCCCTTGCTTCCCCTATCCCCTACACCCGGTGTTTGCCCATCTTTTTCCGTTCATCCACTTACCCGCAATTTTCCAGCTGTCTCCTAATGCAAGCATGCCATTGCCACTTTGTGTACGCCTATCGCTTTTTGCGTTTGGGGGCAAAGGCACACTTCGATACATTCTACCATATTATTATATCCAGTTGGGCATTAGCACAAAATTAGTCACTTTGTGTGGCTGTTCGTATCCTTAATTTAATTGCAGAGTAGCGTTACTTGATACAATAAGCTGTATGTGTGCCTTGTACGTTGCTATGTGCATCTAGCTGTAGACGCTAGGAGTCCTCAGAGAATGCAGCTATTTGCAACCTACCTGTTCCTCTCCCCCTATTTCGAAGCTCTAAGGGGTGCTGGCAAGGGAAGGATTGAGCTTAGTTCAGAGAAGCTTTCAATAACTCGGTGCCTGATTTTATCTGGAGTTGACTGTCTCCCTACGAAGACTTTAGACGAAGCGTTAAACGTGTGGGGAGTATGAAGCGAACAGAACCCAAAGGAGGTTTTTGAATTTCCTGAAGCCAATAATGGCTTTATATCGCCCACAGTATCATTTTATTTTACAAGCCGCAACATTCTACGGGAGACACACTGCGCAGAATCCGTATCTCTCCCTCGTCAAACGTCTCTGTGTCGCACCATCTATGGTCGCATCAGGGAGACACTCAGCTTCATTCTTAACACACAATACAAAGCACTTGAGCACTTCGCCAAAAGGACCTTAATCCCTCCCCTGCTAACATTCCTTAAAGTTCGACATGAGGGGAAAGCAACAACTAGGCTGCAGGTACCTGCACTCTTTCAGCGCTCCAAGCAGTCACAGCTAGATGCACATAGCAGCCTTTAGCGCACATCCACGCAGCATTGTGTGCTACTGTATCGTGTAAAGCTATTCCTTTATCAACAAGGTATACGAACAAACGAACAAAATAAACAATCTTCCTAACTCGTACATAGATATACTTAGTGGGATAAAGAGTCCCAAAGTGTAGCTTCACCCGTTCGCCTCCCTTCTCGTTTAGAAGCATGCGCCCTCGTATTCCGTGCCCATCCGTTGCATACAGGACAGCGGAGGAGTTTCCGGTTTCTGAAGGCATGGAGTCACAACTTTTGCAGAAGCGTGCAGATGGTGCACTCTATCTGCCTCAAGGCAGTTCGTAGTGATCATAATATGATCAATGTGAGGGCAGGTGTTAGTGGCCCGCCAGAACGCAATAAGGCACTTCAGCTCCATATCCGCCGTGATACGCCTTTAGAATTCGTGGGGCTTCCAAACCTGCGGAAAGAACTTTTTGCGACTTGCGGAATAGTGACAAAGCTGAAGAAAGGGATGGAATGGGCATATTTGCTGAGTTTATTGACCTCGGCGTATGTGGTTGTTGCACCTCATTTGGAGCGACTTCGCGACTACAACTGCTGGCAATCTGGGCATGACAGCACATACTCTTTGCTGCGAGACCGCATCCCAGGCTACCAGCAAATCCGAGATCCCTGGGCCTTTTGCTGTAAAGGCTAGATTGTGGTCGTGTTGTGCATTGTTATGCTGGGCCTAGAGGCATCCTGGGGACTCGCTAAATGCTTGGCTGTTTGCTGCTTCCGCGTTTGAAACTCTGGAAGAAACCGTTGGCTATGTAGACAAAGGTCAAGGGAAGAGGCCTTCAAAAAGTTGCGAGGAGTAAGCTCCGTAGCCTCTGTCTGGCGAATTGTTCAAAAAACTTCCTCTGAGATCTCAGTAGGCAGGCGCTTAGCTACCGACTAAATACAGGTTTAAGACAAGGTTGCTCAATGGCCATTCAAAAGACTTCCCCCCGCCCTTGCGGATGCCCCTATGCATTCCCGCATGAGAGGAAAGGGACAGCTATAATGTACGTTGCTGAACCATTTGAGCCTCCTAAGTACTCACGCCTAGTTGAACATATAATCTGTCTGTTCAAACACATTCAAAATTGACTTTACATGTTAGCTATGTCTACTTTGCTCTACGGTTGTCAAAGCCAAGTGGCCAGTTCTTCGGTAATCCTTGCTTAAGTATAACTGGTGAAGTAAACTGTGCCCAAGTGTAGAGTAGCAGTTTCACTGTTGACGTCGTGCTGTTGCTGCCTGTAGCTCCAGTGCGCTGCACAAAAAGGGCCTCTGTTTTCCGGATTCTTGGAAGACAGAGCTAAGGACAGCATAACGGAAGAACCAGAAAAAACAGAATGCACGTGCTAAAAAGGAGAAAGCTGTAAAGGCAGGGATACACGAAAATGCTTGCCGTGCCACATGTTGCGATAAGTTTAAAATGTGCACCTTGATGAAAGTATTCTCACAGCAAACGACAATCGATGACCTGCACCATACTATCGATCCAGGGGCTATGTAAAGTCCTTCAGCCCCCTCACCCGTGCAGCCCCATGCCACATGCAACACATCCCGTTTTTTCAGCTGTCTTTGGTGGATTCAAGTGCCTCAGTATCCCAGTAGCACCAAAGCAAACGTTCGTGTGCATGGCCACAGAGGCAATGCAGCACGTATGCAGATTTGGATGTGGCGATACGCTCATGCATGTTGTGTCTTGGATGAAGGGAACCAAGAGAAAAGTAGAGTCAGAGTGCACTGTAGATTCACCGTTCTGGAGGCTTTCTGCAGTACACAGATGTGCATGCGCAGGCTTTTAGGGATGTTCTTGCTATGTTGATGCAGTACGTTTACCCACTTTACCGCGTATTGTTTTACTACCCATCATCAAAAACGCGCGAGTTCCTCTCGTCATGAGGCCGATACCAGGGTCGGAAGAAAATACGTACATAGGTGCCTCGAAGAATACAAGTGCTTCGTTTTTTTGTCAGAGCAGCAACAACCCTATTGGTGTCCATGTAAAGTGCTACCGCATTCGAAATGGTGGCGCAGTACACCGGCGCTTTGTTCTTGCTGCAATTGCACCACACGGGCTACCAAGAGGCCACTGAAGCAGCGGCTGCAGCAGAAGTGCAGCTCGCCCTCTCTGTAGCTAACACGGAGGCGGCACTCATTATTCGCGCAAACACTTCAACGGTTGGCGATATCCGGGACGGCGGGGAGACAGGATCCACAGGAGACAAAGACGTACAGGGAAGCGCAGCGTCTGCAGGAGGCTAAGCGCATCAGTAGAGGGTTTCATCTACGCACGCCTGTGTTAGTGACGTTTGGCTGTTTTGTTTTTGTCAGCATTGTTGCTTGTCCTGCCGTGCCCTCCTCGGCAAATGCGCTTTCAGCTATTTCTGCTCCCCTTATTTAGCTGACGTGTCGACATGCGGCACATATCCCCAGGTGTCTGTATTTAAAGGTACATACTTGTTTTTTACGCTAAGCAAAGGCAAACGCTTTCTGCAAAGACTGTCTGTGCACCTCAAGATGTGCTGCACTGTGTATGGTCATCGTGAAATCCTTGTGTATAGCGACCCCTGTTTACAAGTTGCGCATACTACTGCATGAAGAGGTTCTGCCTTCTGCTCCCTTTTCACATACCCCAGCTGAAATACAGGCGGACTGCCGTCGCTCTCCGACAGCAGTTCTCTTCGCTCCGCAGCCCCGTACATCCCCAGTGTTACAGAGAAACTTCTCCTGCCCGTTGGCGTGCCTCCCTGGACGCACCGGCATTCGTGTCATTTGTTAGGCAAACACACGATCAGGTGCGCTGAACAACACCGCGAATAGCAACAGCAGCCATGGAAGCAGCAGGAAAACCTCCATAACCACGGCACCCAGCAGCAGGAGGCGCTGCTGCAGCAGCCACGGCAGCAGGATGGGGTGTTCAGCGGTAACCCCTGTTTTGTTTTGCGAACTGTGACGCATGTAACTGCGGGAACCTTAGAGCTTATTCTTTTTCCACAGCCAGGTAGGCTCGCAAAGCTGTCTGCTGGTGCCCCCTCCATGAGTGGCTAGGCCCGCGTTGAACCATATAAATACTTGTGTGGCGATGAAAATATTTTACAAGTCGCCTGTTTCAAGGAGAATGCGTACGGTTGCATCTAATTATCGATCTGTGTATCTCTAGACAGTTGGAGAAAAGCCTCTATAAGTTCTAGTTAGAAGCCTCCATGAGTTCAATTTAGCATGACTGCTCTCTCACTACAAGCGGCGCATAAAATATACCGGATTGGGTTTCCTCATCGAGTCACCGCATGACGAACTCTCGTATTGTACATCAAACCAGCTGCTGGTAATCGGGCTGGGGCTGTTGTTGGTCTATATATGCGTTCGCCTCTCTTGCAGCCAGCGCCGTAGCTTGTATGTTTTCTCGGTCCTGCCCGCACAGCAGGAGTTTTGAGGCCGTTTTCAAAGAGACTAGGGCCATCTTAGAGAGGAAGAGGATATTCTTAGATCTCGCTGGAATGAACAGATTGAAATACTTCATTGATAATAGTTCCTCTTCCCCCTTCCGCTGCAGCTATCCCTCCTCCCCCCAAGCAACAGAAACGGTATCAGCAGCAGCAGCAGAGGTGCTAGCCTAAAATAGCGGCTATCAAGCGCTGTCGCGTTTGATTCTCTACTTCTTGGGAAGGCATCAAGGGCCCTCAAATCGCTAAGCCGTAGCCTGAGCGGATCCTAGAGCCTACAAACCGCCGAAACGAAGCATGGGAATAGTGAAAGCCTCTCTAGACACAGTCTGAGCCCCTGGCTAATCCAGCGGCTGCCACAATAGTGGGACTTGTTGCCGCAGCTTTCCGCGCGGTGAATTTGCACTCAAGAACAGACACGATCGTTTGCAGCCTGGCCATCAACTGCCGACTTTTATCGAGAAGTAGAGACAACATTTGCAGATCGACGAGAAGTGGAGGTACACCTCAACGCAGGAAAGCAGGGAATGCGGGAGGCGCCATCAGCTTGCCCCATGGCTGCTTCTGCTGTTGCTGCTGCTGAGCATTGATGCCGCCGGCAGCTGCTGCTTGCGGAGAGCTCCCAAAAGGAAACGCAATAGGGTTGGCCACTGGCCCTCCTGCACCGCAAATCACACGCCCCCCCAAAAACTACACGAATCTGCTGCGACCTACGTACCCGACCTCGTGTGCGCGAGAAGGCAATGCAACTCCAATGCTCACGCGATAGGTGAGAGGCGCCGCATCCGTTTGGCATAAGTGATGGCTTCACAGCGGAGCCGTCAAACGTCGTATCTGGGGGGCATCCCAAAGGAGGTACCCCCGCAGAGGAAATGCCGAGCTTGGGGGCCCCCTTGGGGCCTCCAAACGGATTCACATACATGCGCCTCCTGTCAACTCCAGGATCTCTGGTGGGTTGGGCAACACCAGCCACAGGAGGTGCTGCTGGCAGCGGTGGTGGTGCCTGCTGCTGCTGCTGCTGCTGCTGCTGCTCATTCGTACTGTCGGATATCTCTCTGCCTACAGCAGCAGCGAAGCACAGCGAAGTGAGCCTTTAGCCATACACACCCTGAAGCAGCACCAAGGCGAATGCCATTTTTGCGCAAGGACGCGTATAAATATACATACATATGTATATATACAAGCGACTAGACCACCTGCAGCCTTTGCTTCACCTTTTTCTTCCCATCTTTGCTTCTCGTAATTATAGTAAAATGTATTTTCCACTCCGACTTGCCGCTCTTCCCCCGCCAGTACGGGCAGCACCGCGTTCTTGAGGCCAACAAAGACACCACCCAGCCAGCTGCTGTTCGCCTTGTTGTTGCTGTTGCTGCTGCTGTTACTGCGGCTGCTGCTGTTGCTGGTGCTCCCACGCAAAGCGGGAGGTTTCTCTGCGCTGCTCGTCTCGCCGGATGCGGGCCCTTGCTGCTGCTGTTGCTGCTGCATGCGTTCACGGCGCAGCCGAGCAATCGCGGCGTCTTGCTGCTGCAGTACAGGGTGCAGCTGCAGTTGCTGAATCAGCTGCAGCTGCTGCCGTAGCACCTCCCGCAGTTGCTGTGGCACCCGAACCTGCGGTTGGGCTCTCAAGGAAGCAGCAGCAAACTCGCAGTAGCGTTCAGCCTACAGCAGCAGCAGCAGCAACGCAGGGGACAGACACAAAATGCAGGCAGTGGCACCAGCAGGAGCCTTAAAATGTTCAAACACCCGACCCGCGCCAGCACCCAGAAGCAGCTGAGACACTGACAGTCGCTGCAACTTACCTGTTTGAGGAGGCCAAACTCCGCAAGGAGAGCTGCAAACTTGATCTTGAACGGCACGAGGTGTAAGTACACCCACTGCAGGAGCAAGAGCGCAGCGCTCGCAGCAGTGGTGGACACCCCTTTTGAGCAGCAAGCGCAACGCAAGGCGAGCACAACAAGGAGCAGAGGCGGTGGCAAAAGCAGCAATTCGTAACACAAGGATACCTGTGGATTCGACATCCTCAGCGCATACTCAAGAATTTCCGTTAGGACCAGCTGCTCCGCCTCCTGCAACAGCCGAGCACCAGGGGCACCCCCTGCAGCAGAGGAGCAGCAAGACTGCACAACATGGAGCAGCAGTAATTTTTGCCGCAATGACGAGTGAAGTGAAGCAGAAACAGCAGCAGCATCAGCGATTTTTGCCGCAACAGCGAGTGAAGTGAAGCAGAAACAGCAGCAGCATCAGCAGCACTCTGTCACTGCCAGGCGGTAAAGCAACCCAAGGAAGAGCATGGTGACAAGCAGCTTCCACGGTTCATCCTGCAGACGATGGCACAGCATAGGCGACGCAGCAGCACACCCAGCAAGGTAAGGTGTCCAGCGGCGCCCTCTGTAAGCCTCTCTCCTGACAGCAGCAGCAGCACTTGAGCTGCGTGGACGGCTCCGCAGGGAGCTGCCGCTGCAGCTGCATCGGGATATTCCAGCGAAAACGCGTGAAAGCCAACTCCTAGCTGCTGCAACTGCAGCTGCGTTGAAGGGTGCTGGACTCCCAGGATGCTGCAGCAGCTCGCTGCCACGAACAGCCAGCCCTTGAAGATCTCTGCACATCGCGCGAACACACAGGCGGCTTTCTGGAGGAATGCTCCGCATGCACCCCCACCGACACAGTCCACAGGGAGGAGACGCGCAAGTGCACGCGTGGGCATGCCTTCCGCGAAGCAGGAACGCAGTTCGCCTCCCCGCATCCAGCAGGAGTCAACGAAAGATCGCTCAAAGGCACTTACCAGGAGAAGGCGACGGAAGGGAAGCCCTACTAAGAACTCTGTACAAGCGCGCAAGCGAAGCTAGCCACACAGAGCATCCTCCCCTACTGCACACGGCAGCTGCTTCTGCAGCTGCTGCATTCTTCTGGTCGGAAGCAGCCCCCACTGAGTTCGACGAAGCCTCCAAGGCGTTCGCCAGAGACTCCAGCGCCCTATCCACGGACTCCGCACCTGCGGCATTCGCAACTGCCAGTGCATGCGCATGCAGCCCCAAAGCGGCAGCAGTCGAGGCAGCGCCTGCAGCGTCTCCGCAGCAGAGCTGGCGCCCGACAGCGCCAAGACCACCGCAGCTACACCACGTGTTGCTGCTCGCGCTGTGCTGCTGCTGCTGCTGCTGCTGCTCTCGTTGCAGTTGCTGCTCTCGTTGCAGTTGCTGCTCTCGTTGCAGTTGCTGCTCTCGTTGCAGTTGCTGCTCCAACGCGGCCGCTGCCGCTTGCAGCTCGTCTTTGGGGAAGAGCCGTTGCGACGCTGCAGCGAAGTCTCCGTTGTGCTCCAGCAAGAGCAGCAGGAGCTGCCAAAGTCCAGTTGTCTGTACGGCAGGTAGCCGCCGCTGCTGCTCTTGCTGCTGCTCCTGCTGCTGCTCCTGCTGCTGCTGCGGCATCCGGAGAGAAACAGCTTTTTTCAGAAAGGCGATAAGGGCAGCCGTGGTGCGCTGATCCGAGGCTCCTAAAGGCCCAGGATACTCAAGCAGCAAATGGCAGATTAGCGCAGACGGGGATTTAGAAGCGGCTGCAGCGGAAGAAGGAGGAGGAGACTCTTTCTCTCGAGAAGTGAGCAGCCGCATGGTGCTGCAACACGCCACACTGGTGTCGCCGCTAGCCACACAAAAAAGGCCACCGCTGCTGAGGGCAAAGGCGACTCCTTGCACGCCTTCAGGGTGCCTCTCTGCCGAACTGCTCTTGACCTTATAGGGAATGTAGGAAACATTGGCTGCACCTGCTGCGCGTGCTGGTGAGGGGGATCCTGCATCTGCAGCAAATGCCAAAAATGACGGCGCAACTGCTGGCGCTGCTGCGGGGGGAAGGGCAGCGGTAGTCGGGATGCTCGGTGGCTGCTGCTGCTGCGGTTGGGGTTGTTGTTGTTGCTGCTGCTGCGGTTGGGGTTGTTGTTGCTGCTGCTGCGGTTGGGGTTGTTGTTGCTGCTGCGGAGGTAGTTGTTGCTGCTGCGGAGGTAGTTGTTGCTGTTGCTGCGGTTGGGGTAGTTGTTGCTGCTGCGGTTGGGGTTGTTGCTGCTGCTGCTGCGGTTGGGGTTGTTGTTGCTGCTGCTGCGGTTGGGGTTGTTGTTGCTGCTGCTGCGGTTGGGGTTGTTGCTGCTGCTGCAGGGGCTGCATGACATCATCTCCTGATGCAGCAGTTACCGCTGAAGCGCTCATGGCGAACAAATTGGCAAGAGGAGGACGTCTACCGGAAAAGGTGCGTGTTAAAGGAGTTTCTGCCGTTGGGAAGGCTGAACTCTGCAGCTGGTGCTGCTGCTCTTGCAGCCCACGCGGCTGCTGCTGTTGTGGCTGCCCCTCATCGTGCTCAGCTGCTGCCAGCTCTTCTGCCTCCGACGGCCTCATTTGAGGCGCGACTGGAGAGACAGAGGCAGCGCAAACTGCTGGTGCCTCGAGAGGAACGCCTTCTGAATCTTCAAAAAGCCATGCTGGATCGGGGTGCCAGATACGGGCTGCAGTGCCTGACAGCACACACAACAAAGGCGGATCTCCGTTTTTGAAGCCTCTTGAGCAGACAAGAGACAACCCCTCTCTAATCTAGGAAGCAGGTTCAGTGCAACAGCGTCTCAGACTTGAAGCATCGAGACTGGGGAGGCTGCGCACTCATGCAGCAGCTGCAGCAACAGCTCGCCAGCATCGTGCTCACACACACACGGGAGAGGACGCACCAAGCGCGGAAGGTCCCCCCTCCATTGAAACTTCGGAAACAAACAGAGGGCTAGCAGAAGGATCTAGGTGCTCCGCAGAAGGCAAGGGAAGTTGCTGTGGCTGCTTCTGCTGAAGCGCCTCCTCCTCATGCCGTTCTTGCTGCTTCTGCGCGAAAGCTGGCCAGGTAGGGAAAGAAGGCTTCGGCTGTTGCTGCTGCTGCTGCTGCTGCTGCTGCTGCTGCTGTGCCTGAGCTGCTGTGATTTGCTCCTGAGGTTGCGGCGTCTCAACTTGTTGGAGCTGCTGCTCGTCGTGCTCAGAGAAAGCATCCTTCTGCTGCAGATGCTCATGAACCTGTGGCAGTCTCTGGTTCGCTTGATGCTGAGGACCCCACAGTTCTTGACATGCCCGAAGGCGTGGCTGCTGCCGCTGCTGCTGCTGCTGCTGCTGTTGCTGTTGCTGCTGTTGCTGCTGAAACTCATCCTTGTCGCAATGCCAGTCCTGATGCTTCTGAAACTCCTGCTGCGGCACCTCGCGTTGCTGTTGTTGCGCCTGTCTGGCCTTCTCAGCGTTTTCCTGCAGCATCTCCTGCAGTGCCTCTCGCCTTTGGGGCAGCAGCAGCAAATTCTGCTGTGAAGATTCCGAGCAGAGCTGCTCTGATGCCTCCTGTGGCTGGTGTTGGAGCTGGTGCTGCTGCTGAAGAGGTGGCAGCTGCGGAGGCTGCAGCTGTGACAGTTGCTGCTCCTGCTGCTCTAGCTGCTGCTGAAGAGGTGGCAGCTGCGGAGGCTGCACCTGTGACAGTTGCTGCTGCTGCTGCTCTAGCTGCTGCTGAAAAGGTGGCAGCTGCGGAGGCTGCACCTGTGATAGTTGCTGCTGCTGCTGCTCTAGCTGCTGCTGAAAAGGTGGCAGCTGCGGAGGCTGCACCTGTGACAGTTGCTGCTGCTGCTGCTCTAGCTGCTGCTGAAAAGGTGGCAGCTGCGGAGGCTGCACCTGTGACAGTTGTTGCTGCTGCTGCTCTAGCTGCTGCTGCTGCTCTAGCTGCTGCTGAAAAGGTGGCAGCTGCGGAGGCTGCACCTGTGACAGTTGCTGCTGCTGCTGCTCTAGCTGCTCCTGCTGCAGGTCAAGTTGCTGCTGCTGTTGTAAAGGCTGTTGGTTTAGGCGTTCCTGCTGCATGAGGTGATCCTGTGGCGCTTGCTGGAGGGGCTGTTGCAGGTTATCATGGAGTTGTTGTTGTGCCACTTGTGATGGCTCTTGTTGATGAAGTGGCGATGGCTGCTGCTGCAGCTCCTGCTGCTGTTCCTCTGGCAGTGTCTCTTGCTGCAGGGGATTTTTTTCTTGCTGTTGCTGTTGGGATGGCTCCTGTAGATGAAGTGGCAATGGCTGCTGCTGCAGCTCCTGCTGCTCCTGCCCTTCCTGCTGCAGTTGCTTTCGGTAAGATTGCTGCTCCTCCTGTTGCTGCGGCTGCTGCTCTGGCAGCAGGGCATCCACGTGTATTGACTCCTTAGAAGAAGCTCGTGAACAGGGATCCCCCGTGTCTTCGCGCTGCAACTGCTCCGTTTGGTTGTGCTGTTGTTGCTGCTGCAATGTCTGCTGTGCGAAAGCCTGATCCTGATGAGATCCTTGTGGTAAGGCCTCCTTTTGCGCCTGTAGCTGCAGCTGCTGTTGGAGTCGTTGTTGCAGCCGCTGCTGCTCCTGGAGCTGCTGCTGCAGCTGCTGCTGCAGCTGCTGCTGCTGAAGTTGATGTTGCTGGAGCTGCTGCTGCTGGAGCTGCTGCTGCTGGAGCTGTTGTTGCTGCAGCTGTTGTTGCTGCTGCTGAAGCTGTTGCTGGATAAGACCCGTCTGCAGCTGCTGTAGCGATGGCGTAAGAGACAAGGAAGGGGGAAGCGGAGGAGGCGCAGCAGCAGCAGGAGCAGCAACAGCTGTCGTCGGTGGAATGGGGGAAGCGGCACTGCTGCTGTGACTGCTGGCAACGCTGCTTCTTCCAGGAAGGCGAGCAAAAGGATTTTGAGGCACGTACAACTGGGGGAGGGGAGCGACGCCTAGCGCCTTCTTTTGCTGCCCCTGCTGCATGCTTTCTAGATTCGCAGATCCCGAAGAAAGCTGCGTCTGTTGTTGGTGCTGCTGCTGCATCTGTTGTTGGTGCTGCTGCTGCGTCTGTTGTTGGTGCTGCTGCTGCGTCTGTTGTTGGTGCTGCTGCTGCGTCTGTTGTTGGTGTTGCTGCTGCATCTGTTGTTGGTGCTGCTGCTGCATCTGTTGTTGGTGCTGCTGCTGCATCTGTTGTTGGTGCTGCTGCTGCGTCTGTTGCTGCTGCATCTGTTGCTGCATCTGTTGCTGCATTTGTTGTTGCTGCATTTGTTGCTGCATTTGTTGCTGCATCTGTTGCTGTTGCTGCTGCATCTGTTGTTGCTCCCCGAGGCTGCTGGTGCTGCTGATGCTCGCGAACAGCAGGCTGGTGTTAGACAGGGCAGGGGTGGCAGCTGAAGCGAGAAAGCCTTCGTGTAGGCTTGTGCTTGTGGCTGCAGGAGTGCTGCCACAGCCTCCCGAAGCAGCGGCGTTCAAGGGAACCCCCGAGGCGCTCGTTCCCCCCCCTCCGCCTAGCAGCAGGATCTGCCCCAAGGCTGAGGAGCTCAAGGAAGGCGTTCTGCTGGCTGTAGACTCCGAGCGCAAGCCGCTGGAAGCCAGGCTTGCTGCGGAAGAGGCCCCTGCAATCGCTGCGGGAGTCAAGGTGCACGGGGTGCCCCCTCCTGCCCCTCCCAGTGCGGCGAGGGGCCTCGCGCAGGGGGGGGCCCCCAGGGGGGCCCCTCCGGGCGTCGTCATGGTTCCCACATTCAGAGGGCACAAGGGAAGCCTCGAAGGGGAGGCTAGCTGCTGCAAGGAGGAGAGGCTTTGCATGCGGGGGGGCCTCCCCCCTAGGGGGGTTGCGCCTGCGGAGAGGGCTGCTGCTGCTGGCACTGGAGTCGCTGCACTGGCTGCAAGGGGGGGCAGAACCTGCGAAGCCCCCTGAGCAGAAAGCGAAGCTCCCGAGCCGGAGGGGAGAGATCCAAGCTGCAAGCTGCCGCTGTGCTGCAGCTGCACCGCTGGCGGAGCGTGTGGAGCGGCACTGGGGGGGCCTAGGGGGCCCCCCCCTAGGGAAGCCTTCAAAGCGACACCCTCGGCGGAGACCATTGGGGAGAGCGACAGCGAGGAAACGGAGGTGCTCAAGGATGCAGCGGGGGTCTGAAGGGGAGCGAGGGCCCCTGCTGTGAGCGCGGAGGGATGCGGGGGGGGGGGGGGTACCACTGCCGACATCTGCAGAGGGGCTGCAGTCGCAGCTGCTCCTGCGGGAGCACCTGCGACAGAGAGAGGAGACGCAAAGGGCATCATGCACACGGAGCCAGAGGAGGCGGCGGCTGCAGGAGCAGCAAGGGTGGCGCGTCCTACGGCCAGGGGGGCCCCCCCCCCGCCTGCCGCTGCCAGGGGGGCCCCTGCAGCGGTCAAGGGGCCCCCTGGAGCCGCCAGAGGGGCCCCTACAGAAGCGACAGGCGTTCCAGCGGCAGTCATGGGTGTTCCTGCAGGAGTAGACATGGGAGTGACAGAAGCGGCCTGGGGGCGCTGGCTGCCGAGCGCGAAAAGCGGCATTTCGGGGAGCAGATCTCTGAAATGTGGTCACTTGGTGTCTTTTCGTGCGAATGCACAAAAAAGCAAAGGAGAGGCGAGGACAAGCAGCAGCAGCGGCAGCTGCCGCTGCTGCTGCTCTGTGCAGGTGAGGGAGTCGCAGCTATCCTTCTGCTGCTTCTACCAAGGAGGGAGGCGACAGCGGAAGGGCGCCGGAAGCAAAATAGGAGGCACACTTGGTAGAAGAAAGCGAAAAGCTGACTCAATAAAGCACACCCTGAAATGCTGATTACGTTGTAGCCAATAGGCAGAGGCAGGGTGTCGGCACAGACGAGCAAGGGGCCCTCCCTCGTCGGGGGCAGCCACCTCTCACACAACGCGGGCTGCATACGGTTTGAATCACAGGCACAGGAGACAGGGGGGCCCTCTGAAGCACTTTTCCTACATTCTCTATCTCTCTATATCTATATGTGTCTCTCTTTCTTCCTTCCCCGATAAGTAGACGTGCTCAAGAATGCCCTCGGCGCAGCGCATGCTCCCCAGTGCCAGCCTCAAGCCGTGAACTCCTCAAGCCAAACCCCCAAAGCGTCATCGAAATCCAAAGATCATGCGCATTCCAGGCTTTCCCACCCTCACCTTCCGCAAGGACTCCCTCCTTGTCCAGTGCTGCGTCGCTGCAAGCCTGTGGTAAGTAGAGCCTAGAGCACGAGGCTGTACTGCAGAGGGCACTCTTTTTCTCTGGCAGGCGGGAACCACGCAGCAGCACAACAGCTGTCTGCTGCGAGGCTAAACGGCGGTGTCGAGGGGGGCGGCCTCTTTGCTGCTGTGCGCAGGTTTGCGCCTCCAGATGCCGTGACAGTGGCTGGACTCTACTGGTTCGAGCGGCAGGTACTTCCTTCCTACATGCGATAAATTCTTAGAGGCATCCCCAATTTGTGTGCAAGACGCCTGTTTTAGGGCCGGTTCTCGCCACTGCATATCATCTCTAGTAACCTCCCTTGTTTTAAGGGGACCTTCCCTGCGGACGAATTCGCTCTGTGCTTTCTCTCTCTCTCTCTCTCTCGCCTGTTGCCTATCGATGTGTGCATGCCGATCGCATCGCAAGGGGCGACGCTTCCCACCATGCGTAGCGTGTAGCGGCACTTTCCACTCCAAAGGGCTCACTGTGACTTTCGTGGGAGCGTCGACGGACAGACAGACAGTCAAACAAACACACGAGCAGACAGACAGATATCCGGACAGACAGAGAGGCACTCGGAATCCACTATGTCATCTACCTACGTCGCCTAATTGTGTGTGTAACCTTGCTTCTGTTTCTGTCCTAGCGCTGTCGTCGTGCTCTCATCTGGTTGCTCTCACGCGCTACCCGCAGTCTTAAACGCTGGCACCTCTCGCACAAGAGCTTTAAATATGTTTTGTTGCTCCTTTGGCTTCAGAATGGTCGTCGGCGGTGCCCTACCTCCTCCACGCCCTCTATAGACGATTCTTTAGCGAAATTCCTAAAGCAGAAGAAAGGCACTTTCTGCGTGGACGTGCAGAAGAACAAAACCTTTGTCTCTCTAAGGGCCTGAACCGCCCGCCAAGTTCATAGACGGGGGGGAAAGGGGGGTCTGACGCTTCGAGACAAAGCTGCACACGCGCCTGGGGTGGAGAACCACGCAGCCTCTCTACCGCCGCGTTTTGCAGCTGAGCGATAAAACAGCTGCATGCAAAGAGGGTGCGAAGTGGGGGAGGGGGAGAGAGGGGGTTGGAGGTTGGCAGGTGATGCAAGCGGGTGTGTAAAGGGGGTCCTCTTTCTATCTCTCTCTGCAGATATCTGTGCTGCCAAACCGAGAACCCCCTACGGATGCCACATAGTAGGGAAACAGGAAAAGTGGTAGTAGTGGTTTCCCTAGTTGCGGCAGGCGCTAGCGTGTCTTTCGCCGTCGGCAATGTGTGTACCACGCACTCGAAGGGCTCCGTAGGGGAACGGCCAACTTTCAAACTAATGCATACGTAGTAGGATTTCATTGCTTTCAAACATGACCCTTCTGCCTTCCCCTGCCCGCTTGCTTAGAGTTCTCGAGATGACGGGAGAGGAACTGCTACTAGGGGCGCGTCGGCACACTCTGATTGCTGCAGCCATTCACAGCAAGTTGCGCTCTAGCAACCAGCGCGCACGCATGCACAATTGCATCTGGCCATACCCAATTGACACTTCTCCACCATGCGCGAAAATATGCAAATAAAGAACCCAGTAAATAATTTCAAAACTAATCTTCAGCGAATGTAATTAGTCCACAAAAAAAGCTTGAGCCGCCACAGGCTGCAGCTACTGAGTCACGAGACCAGAAAAGGCCCTTGAGAACCCTGAAGAGGCAGTCTCGAGGGGGCTCCTTGTAGTGTGCTTGAAGAATTCCTTCCTCCCTTTTCCCCTGGCTATTAACCTGCGTTCCGCTTGCAACGGTTTCAAGGGCAGCTCGCAGAGGGGTGCACGGTTAGGCGAGGGGTACTTCAGCAGGTCTGGCTCTCAAAAAGCGCACGCCCAGTGCGAAGGAGTAAGTCCAATAGGGAGTTTGGCAGCAAAGACAGACGTTACTAAGAGCCCCTCTCGGGTGCAAGGTGAGCCGTCATGGCAAGCGGGATCATCTGAAGAGACCTCGGGGGATCAACCATGCCCAGTGTCAGGGAAGCCGCCTGTACACCGCTCCTGTAAAAGCATTTTTAATGGAACGACGCGGAAAAGGCTCGTCGCCAGAGCCCTGTTCACGAGGGCCTCCGGGTGTATGTGCAGGTGTCGAACGGCTCTTGGTTGTCGGAGCCAGTGCTTTATCGGTCCCCTGCTCGGCGGTGACAGCATCCCATAGAGCATTATGTGGGAAAAGCAACCTTTGAGAGCCTCATCAGGGAGGTTTCGATTTTTACAATGCATGCACGCTGCACTGCCATGGGCCCCCTGGGGTGGGGCCCCCCGAGGTCTAACGGAGGCCCTAAAGCCCCCAACGGAACGCTATTGCGAATGGGCGGAAAGCAAGTGGCTTCTGTCCTTAAAATCTCCCAATCACTCGTTTCTGTGAACAGGCAGGCGCTGCAATTAATGTGGAAGGCTCGGCAGCTGCAGGAGAAGACCATCGACGCCAGCAGCAGCGGCTGAGAAGAGTTCAAGCGGCAGCTGCCTCGCCAAGGCAGCAAGCAGCAGTCAGACTTGGCTTGAAATCGCTGCAGCTGGTATTTTGAAGGTACTGCCATTTCTGAGGCGATTCGGGGGACGGGGGAGGCAATAAGCGCACATAGCCAAAAGGAGCGACGACCGCACCAAGGCAGATAGCACTCCCTGGCTGTGTATCAGCAGCCGCACTCGCAGCCACCGCAGCAGCAGCCGAAAGCGCTGCATGCGGCTTGCCTTCCTGCCACTCATGGGTGGCCCCTACCCTAGGGGGCCTCGCCATGGAGGCCAGGCGTTGCGGATTTCTTTTGGAGATTTGGCAGCGCCTCGCTCTCCTGCAACACTCGGTGGCATTGAAAGGACAACTCACGAGGATGCACAACAGCAGCCGCATCAACAGCAGCCGCATCCCCAGCAGAAGCAGAACTGCCGACGTCAGCCAGACTTTCCAAACAAACGCCAGAGGGCGCAACACATGCAGCAGCCACAGCACCAACAGCAACACATGCAGCAGCAGCAACAACAGCACCAACACATGCAACAGCAGCAACAACAACACCAACACATGCAACAGCAGCAGCAAATACAACAACAACAACATCACCAACAGCAACCTGGGAATACCCTCTCCATGCATGTGCAACCGAGCAACGAGGTCAAGCGGATCAGCATTAGATGCTGTTATCCTCCTCCGCCACCGGTCGCCTCCTTCGCGAAGGCCTCTTACTCGAGTTTTAAGCAGCACCAGCATCTCCAACTCTCGCACCAAACCATGCAGCAGCAACAGCAGCAAATACAGCAACAACAGCAGCAAACACAGCAACAACAGCAAATACAACAGCAACACATGCAGCAACAGTTTACTCCCCCTCCACCACCTCCCCCCCTTCAACTGGGAGTGCAACAGCAGCTACAAGTGTCGCTCCAGCAAACCTGGCAGGAGCAACAGCAGCAAATACAGCACCATCACCAGCAGCTTACACAGCAGCACCCCTTGTTGCAGAAGCAGCCGCAGCAGCGACACGCTGGCCGCCTGATACATCCGAGGAGACAGCAGAGGACGGCTACGCAGCAACAACAGGTT